AGTAATAATGAGACTCATCAAATGAGATTGTGACGCAAAGTATGCATTATGGGGGGAGAGTGATTGCAGTGCTCTTGCGTGTGTATGGGCAGTAAACTTGGTTGTGTAGGAGAGAGGAAACGGAGGTAAGTCTTGTGCTGTGTCGTACATTATGAGGAAAAACAAACATACATACACAATCGTACATGTTTGCAAACAGAATTTGAATCTCAAAACATGTCGACTGTTTGTTGCTTTCCCGCTCTTTTCGATATTTTAAAAAAACCATCACGTGATGTTTGCTACCTTGCTTGTCGAGTAATGACGGGATGTATCAGGGGAGGTTGTGATATAAGTACTACATGGGAGGGGAGAGATTGCAGTGCTTTTGCAAATGAATGGAGGGTAATCAGTCTTGGTGGAGTAGGAGCGAGGCAATAAAAGAAAGGTGGTGGCGAACATTTTGAATAGATCAAGTCATCGGGTCTATGCAATCATTGGCTGCCCCATCAAGCAGCAGCACGAGACTTCCCTGTGTTTCTCCGGTGTGTCGTAGCCATGTTGTAGAGTATCCTTCAGCAAGGGCAGCAGCAGCATCAGTGAGTAGTACACATCTTCGTGTTGAGCAGTAGTGGTGGATCTTATTGGTGTGGTACTCGACGAGAGACACTTTGTGTCCAACCAGCACACTCACACACCTGGATTCGATTGTGCAGCAGAAGAAGAAGTTGATGTCAGGCTTACGGTCAATGTGGAAGAACAGCAGTGCGCGAACTCGATACAGCCTTCCATGCACAACCGAACATCCGCCGCTGCCGGTCCCTGCGCCCACCTCCAGGAAGGAGATGACGCTTGAAGCTCAGGCGGCGTTGAATCTGGACCTGAGGCACGTCATGTTCATGCAAAACGCCGCTGAACCCGTCCGCTCCAGCACCGTGAGTGATCGAGCAATCGCTACCCTGTGAATACGGTGAAATACACGGAAACAGCAGTCCACAGGCCTCGAACACTCACCACCGTTGCTCAGATCTGGGTGCAGCCGTCAGCACAAACAATGAAGGCACCACCACCAACATAGCATTCAACGCCTAGATTTTAACGCTGTCGAATTGCTCCCGAGTCGAAACGCCGGCTTGATCTGTCCTTATTGCTGTCAGGGCCGCGATTTTACCGAGGCCTTTGCTGCGGTGGGTTTGCCAGCTCACTTCCTCAACGCGGCCTACGGCTTGGCCGAACACACAGTCGGCTGCTCCTCGTTCAGCCCCAACCCAGAAGGAAGGAACTTGGCTTTGATTCCAGACGAACGGCTTGAGGCTTCTGGAAACATGGAGTTCTCGTGCAAATTGGGCCATGTGAGAGCCGCTCCTGCGTACAGTAGCGTGCTGTTCACTACAACGCTGCGCATCCTACCCCCTCCCTCCGCTTTGGCCGTTGGGTATGTACTTCTCACGTGTAACCGTTGAGTATTTTGACGACGGGGTTTTACTCGAGACTAGCTCACGATCCCCTCGTGCGGAATGTGTGTGCTGGTCAAATTTTCTTGCGTGACTCAACAGGTGAAAATCGTCGACCCCGAAACCAGTCGTGAGATGCCAGCCGGGGAAACAGGGGAGATGTGGGTATCCTCGGCGTCTGTTGCTGCGGGTTACTGGGGAAAGCCCGAGCTCACCAACGAGACCTTTCATGCTCGAATTAAGTGCGACAAGCAAGATGGGTGAGGTCACAAAAGAAACGCATATTCAGTTTGGTTCGATTGTCGTATTTGATTTATGTCGAAAGGTGTGTGTGGAAGTGCAGGAGGCCTTCTAGTGTTGGGATATGTGTCAATATGAGCAGCTTTGGGAGAGCGCGTGGTATGTCTGATCGTTGTCATGCCAAGGAAGTCCATTCCCTTGCCCGCAAATTGTCCCGGTGACTGATTCTCCCTCTCCTTTTGAGACACAAGACCGATCGCAAGCTCCTGATTGACGCTTGCAAGCATTTGGACGCAGACAGGAAAGGTGATCAACCCATTTCTTCAGCCACCCACGTAGCCCAAGCGGCGGCATTGTGATATAAGATACGCACTCTCGGTATTTGCTACAAGAGTAGTACTAGTCTACTTGAGATTGTGTTCCCTCCGTGGCTGGTGCTGTGCTGCGAGGGATAGGAAGGGGGATGTCTAGGCGACCCTGAACTCAGGACCCGCTCGTCGCATTGCTTGTCAGGACGTCTCCGCCCCTGTGGGCTGATTTCGAGTGGCTTCGCACCGGAGATCTCTGCCGCGTCGACGCCGACGGGATCCTTTATGTTAAAGGCCGCATCAAGGACCTGATCATCGTCGCCGGTCGCAACATCTATCCCCAGGTGACGTGATCCACACCCTTTTGCTGCGATGTACGTATCGACAGACAGACGAAACACCCAGCGCTTGCCTGTTGGCGAGGGAGTGTAGAAAGCACCCGTCTAGTGATTGGGGCGGTAGGGTCAGCCTCATCGTGGTGCCTGGTTGAGTCAGCGATGATCGTCCAGGTGCCGTATATTGTCTTCGCGCCTCGTTAAACTCTCAATCTTCAGAAAGGAGTGCGCCACGCCACGCCACGCCGCGCCATGCTTTGCCGGCTTTGCAGTACAAGTCTTATTGTTTGCTGCTTGTCTTTGTGTGAATACTTGGTGCTTGGCTCTCCCCCGACCCTGTAGGACATCGAGTTTTCCGCCCAAGAAGCGTCACCACTCGTGCGGCCTGGGTGTGTCGCCGCCTTCTCAGAGGAGGAACTAGGCGGCAGTCTGCAGGTACTTGAAGTCACGTAGTAGTGCACCTGCATTTCCCCCCCAAAGCAAAATTTAGTGCAGCAGTTGATTGATTGTACCTGATCAAAATACTACTCACCATCTTCGTGCATGGGCCTGGAGCCAGGTACCTCTTCTCTTTTTATCGACTGGTGGTGCCCGCTTGTTTGTGTTGTCGTGGACACCTTTTCGGTTTCTGTGCCACGCAGATCGTGCTGGAAATTCGCAAGACGGCCAAGGGGAACTCCGTTGCGATCCGCGAAGCACTCGAGGCCGTTCGCGCTAATGTCATTAAAGAAGCTGGACTTTGCCCCTCGACCGTGGTATGCATGTGAAGAAAGGTGGAGGTACACGAGCAGGGTAAAATTATTCGTATGCTGATTCCACTTCCATCCGCACATCCTTCTTTCGACATGTATTGGGCACTCTTTGCCGTTCTACTCGGGCTCATTCGCGCTTGTTGATCGGTAATTGCACAAACAAGGTTGGGCGAGCTTGTCGTGGCCCCGAGTCCGTTCCTTCTGTTGCATGTAGTGAGGCCAGTTTTCAGCGTCCGTCTCACCGTTTCCTTCCTCCGTTTGTCCAAAAGAGCCCCGCGTTGGTATCAACTGTGCGATGTATACGGACAAGGGGCCGAATTGAATTCCTTGCCCTTCGATGCGTTGAATTTTATTCCTTACACTTTGTCACCATGCTCTTGGCATTTTTGAACAGGTTGCGATAAGGCAGAGGTGCATCCCCAAAACTACCTCGGGTAAGATTCAAAGGCGGAAAACACGGGCCTTGTTGCAGAGCGGAGGGCTTGACGTGGTGCAGGAGCTCTCCAAAGACTCTGGCCCACATCTGTTGCAGGCAACACGAGCTGTTGCTCCTGCTCTCGCGCACGACCCAGACAGCCCGGAGACAATACCACCCCCGGCGAAGGCAGGAACCCCAGTGGACCGGACATTGGACCTCTCAAAGACAGCTCGGACCTCAGCAGATTCAGAGGTATGCCTCTATCTCCCTCTCTCTCTTTGGCCCCTCTCCCCCCTTTTCTCGGGCGCTCCCGCAATCTCTTTGTGCATGGTTCTACCGATGTCCTGCTCTTGCGTTCGCCCTCCTCCTCGTCACCTCTTTTCACATTCTCCGGCGTTTCCGTCTGCCTTATCCCCGACCTTTAGGATTCCCTCTCGGAGGAGTGCAATGGGGGAAGTGTGGCACACCGAGCGAACTTCCCACTCCAGGCCGAAGAAGTTCTTGGCATCATCGAGGCCGTAAGTCCCTACTATGCAGGAACGCTGCCACATTATTGCCCAGTTCATCGCCGTTGCAGGCAGCGTCCTAGGGTCACCTTTTGATGGCATTCTTCATTTGGTACTATCCGTGATGTACCCCCTCAGCTCTATCAGTCGCATGCAGAGATGACACCCTCTTCGGTAGTTAGTTAGCCTTTGACACGGGAGGTGTCCGCATCAGTTGGGTCAGTACGAGCAGTAGAAGGTACCAAGGAGACATCGGACCGATTTTAATGCCATGACACCAAAAGATGTAGGCTATACAGCTTGAATTGTGATTTTGGCTGAAACTGCCGGATGTCCGAGTACACTACACGATACGTGAGATGTGCTACGAGGTAAGTTTCCGTGGTCTGTCCACAACCCTATCAACTCTTAGTTCTATCCCCCACAGCCCAAAGGATGTCAGGCTTGTGGCTGCCCCGCCGAGTTATTGTTAAGTCAAAATACTTAGGATCTGATCACTATGTACCATGGCAAGCCGTATTGAGATTTCTTCTTCCTCATCTCTGCTCTTTTTTGCTGATGGATCCCCAGGTGACCGGTATGGAAGGCCTCAGGTTGTCTGACGACCTTTTGAACCTGGGAGTGGATTCCCTGTCGGCAGTTGGTATCAGCTCGGTGAGTTGCGTCATCACCATCAATACGATTCCGCATGTCTTTCGCGAGCGGGAAAGGATGAACGTATGAGAATGGAACGGAAGAGCGTTGTTTCCCAAAGTGTGATCCTTGGTTATCCTACGGCTTGACATGATCAATTGCTGCGCTCGATGAATCGGACAGAAACTGTCCGAGGCATCCGGGTTGGAAATACCGCCGGAGCTGGTCTTCACGCACCCTAACGCTGGTCTCATTGCTGAGTACGTACGCTCTCAAGGCGGGAGTCTGGAACGGATTGACCAGGCCAAGGTCGTCCAGGGGTACGTAAAGCTGCCACTCTCATGGAGCGTTGATAGATAGTGGTAGGTAGATCCCATGATGTGCTACAAAAGACTTGGTGGCCTGTTGTTGTAAGACCACGTTGATGCTCGAGAATCGCGATGTGGGAACAGCTTCATCTTTGAGTCCAAATTGGGCAGTCTCGTGAAAATTAACGCTGTGCGAACATGGTTTTTACTAGTCCCCTGTATGAGATTAAGTGGTACAAGCACCTCCCTGGCCTTCGCATTCGTTTCCGCCATGTTCAAACTGGAACACCCTTGAAACGCCCAGTGTGCACAGTTTACCGAGGGAGCTTGACCAGGGCACTCACGCATCCAGCGCAATGTCTGCCGACGGGTTCGATAGCTGGAATTGTCCGGGGGGGTCTCACTCCAAGAAACAGGCCGAAGCGTGGACGATGGGTCCCATGAGGGGGTGGGCTTTCCGACTGTCACAGGTGAACACTGTGCTAGAGCTTGAGTAGGCTGGTATTATAAACAGGATGTTCCATCAAGTCAGTGTCCTGATTCTCTTCCGCGCCACGGCGGCATGCAAACCAGGTCCTCCTCCTCGTCCTGGTGGTCGCCCAGGCCTTAGCCTCGCTGCAGCCGGCCTGGCACTACTGGAAGTTTCTCGATGAGTTGGCTTCAACGCCGTTTGGAGGCTTTGCCAAGCAGCCATGGCTGTACGTCGACCTTCCTGTTTTTGCAAAGGGGGCAGAGGGTGAGGACCTAGCATGCATGATTGAAGATACGATACCATTACAAACATAGATACAGCGCAGTTTTGGCGTGGGATTCTTCCCCTAGTCATGCTCAAAATGAGCATGTTTCGTTCCGGGAGATGTGTTGGCACTTCACTACTTGTTGACGTTGTTTTTTTCTGTATATTTTTAACTGTTGTCATTTCGATTCCCTCCGACAATTCCTAAAAACCTGAAACAATTTGTCAAACACGTACAGTCGTCCCCGCTTTAAAGACGCTCATCTTAAGTCAACTCCCCGCGATAAAGACGAAAAAAATTCCGAACCATGGTGCCCCGCAGATATACAATATGAGGGGGGGTGTACTTTATATACTGCGGGGCCCCCCAGAAAATCGTGCAGCACACCTGTAGAACTGCACAGAGAGCGGTCTGCCACTGCTGATGCTGCTGCTGCAACCGCTACTGCGTGGATATGGATAGATTCCTTTCGTCTGCTGACGGTCCGTCTGCCGCCCACACGACAACGTGTGGTGAGCCA